GGTAAGAGGGAGGGCCTGTGATCCTTCTGTCACCCCCACTTCCTCTCTGGTTATTTTCAGGGTTCTCTGTCTGTACCTCTGCATCAAACACCCTTCCCCTTCTTTTTTCTTCTTCAGGGGAACTTAGCAATTCGGATCCTTTTAAGGTGAGTAGTCTGTCCCACGTGGGTTTTCCTCTTATTTTCCTTGGGAGTTGGCTGGGATTTAGACAAGTAGAAAGGAGCTCTTTATTTATAGGATCAGATGTTGACAGCCAGAGTACGGGATGGAATGATTTAAATCTTCTGTATTTACTTTCATCTTGGGCCCACCCTACACCTGAAGGCAGGTGGGATGGAAGGAATTACATGTAGAACTGCTTGGTAGTCCTAAAGCCTTCTCACTTAAAAAGGGATGAAGAGACTCTCAGTTTATCCCCTGCCCTTCTAATCTACACTTCTGGTTCCCCCCAGTATAACAACTCAACTGGGATCAGCTATGAGACCCTGGGGCCAGAGGAGCTTCGAAGCCTGCTCACCACGGTGAGGGACCAGGGAATGGGAGAGTGGGCTGCAGCCTTAGGCAATGGTTAAGGTCCTGGAGGCTGATGATAGCAGTCATTTTCCCTCTCTGGAATTTGGTTACCTGCCAATAGTGGTCTGGGAGCATCTGCTCTGGACACTTGAGGTGCCATCTCTACTTGTACAGCGTACTGTTTGTGTAGAAATGTCTAGGGGTATGTTCCCCTCCATCCCTCCTTTCAGCTTATATTCCTCTTCCAGCAATGTGGAGTGATTTCTGAACACACCAAGAAGATGTGCACAAGGTGAGCACACAACCTAGAAAGGGGACCGGGGGTCTTTTGCACTCTCATCCTGACCGTCACTGCTTTAAGCAGTGGGAGCGGGACACTCTCCATCCCTTCCCATCTCTGACAGGCCTCAGGCCATGATCTGGGGCTCTTCGTTCATCCCTTCCCTGGGGCCTCCCTCCTGCCTCTCTTGTCAAAGGAAAGGTTGCTTCTGAGTTCTTCAGGCACTCTCCTACTTAACAAGGTCTCTCTCCACCAGGTCCCTGCGCTGCCCTCAGCACACAGATGAGCAGCGGCGGGCTGTGCGGATTTATTTCTTGGGGCCCTCAGCGTAAGTGATCCTCTGAGAGGGCTGGGAGTTTGCGTTGGGATGCTAATCAGGATGCTAAAGCCATTCTTTTGGCCCCTCCTCTTTCTAGTGTCCTTCCAGAGGTTGAGAGCTCACTGGATAATGACAGCTTTGACATGACTGACAGCCAGGCCTTGATCAGCCGGCTTCAATGGGACGGCTCCTCTGACCTTTCACCCTCTGATTCAGGCTCCTCCAAGACGAGTGAGAATCAGGGATGGGGTCTAGGTACGTGAGACAGCTGGGCTTCTAACTAAAGGAGTAGGGCCTCTTCCTCTACTGCTACAGCCCTGTGTTCTGCAGCTCATCTCTGTGCCTTTCTTTTCAGGTACCAATAGCTCTGAGTCACGGAAAACCAAGAAGAAGAAATCCCATCTGAGCCTGGTGGGGACTGCCTCCAGCCTGGGCTCTAACAAGAAAAAGAAGCCAAAGCCACCGGCACCCCCTACGCCTAGCATCTACGATGACATCAACTGACTTGGATGCAAGGGATAGCCTTTGGCTGAGCAGAGCCCTCTCTCCCAACCCCCACCCAGGTGGCAGAGCCTGGCAAATGGACAGTTGCTGGGGGTTTGGGCTTGGGAAGCTTGGTGGGCCAGGCAGGCAGAAGATCCATATATGCACCCCTGGGGGGTGGCAGGGTCCTCTGCAATGGAGCATGAACCCTCGGTGTGCAGGACTCAGACCTGGACATGTTATGCCTTGGACATAAGTTTGGTGGGGAGGCAGTTTTCCTATTTATTCTGTGAGTTACTGGATGTCCAGTCAGGCCAGGGGCCTGGCTTGGGCACTGTGCCAGGGCACTGCCTGCCCCCCACCCCAGGAACTGGACTACGCCCTGCCGAGGGGCATTGTGGCATCCAGGAGGCTGTGGTTTGGAAGCTGAGCCTGGAGAGGGCTTCCCCCAGCTGCCCTCAGCAATGTGAATGGGTCCGGTGCTTGGAGCTGAGGGGCAGGGCTGGGCCGTGCCCTGTCTGTGTGCAGAATCCTATGCCCCCATTCCTAGGGGTAGGCAGGCACAGAATGCTGTCTGCTGAGGTGGGCGTCCAGAACTGCCGCCACCTTCCCTGCCCCTTACAGGGGCAGCCCTTTCCCCTCAGTCCCCATGGGCCTCCTTGGCAGCAGGAGCTGTCCTTGTGGTGTTGGGTGCCAGGAAAGGGTCCCCAGCCTCTGCAGCTTCAAGGAATGGGAAAGGGGAGGGTAGGAAGAGGGAGCTGTGTATCAAAATTACTCCCCCCCTACTTTTCTTCCCTGCCCTAGGGCTGGTGAGGAGTGGGGCCCCAAGATGAGAGGGAACGGTGCTGCTTTATTTGAAATGTTTTCTTACCTCATTCCCTGCCCCAGGAAGGGGCCCAGCCTCACCCTCCTGGGGTGGCCCCATGTTCCTCCTGCCTACCCTGCCCTACTGCCCTATGGGGCAGCCCAAGTTCCCAGCTGCTGCTTGCCACCCCCTCTTCTACCTTGAACAGCTTCAGTTCCTCTCTCCATGCTCCTGCCTCCGAAGTCTGCCCTCTTTCCCCCTTCCTTGGCCGCTTTTAAGTTATTTATTCTGTACTTGTGGTTTGGGGCTCTGAGGAAATCCTGACCTTGTGCCTCCCCCCTTTTGCTTAGGAGTAGGGTGGGAAGAGGGTATTCTCTGTGCTCTGGGTTGGTTGGTAGAGGAAGAAGTGGTGTCATGCCTGGGACTGTCAAGCCAGTGTGCCCACCTGCCTGGTTACATCCTGAGATGTACAATCCCACCTCTGGCAGCAGTGCCACTCCAGGAGCCAGGCTAGAGGACCACAGTCAGAGCCGGGAGCAGAGCTGACTGACAGGGACGGAGGTGACCCTGAGCCATGTTTGCTGGATGTGTCCCCTGCCCTCTTTCCCGGAGGAGCCATCCCACATTTGGGTAGCACGTACCCAGGACTGGTGGAACTGATTTGGGTTAGGGACCTTAGAGTTAAGGGAACAACAGATAGGGCTGTGAGTTCCTGTCTGAAACCCCAGTCTCTCCCTGGGGTTGTTCTGATTGTGGCTGATGCCTGGTTTCAAATTGGTTTTTAGCCCAAGAATTGTGATAACTTTTTTAGAAAGCCAAAATCTACTTTGGCAGGAGTTAGAATAAATCCTGGGGCCTGGGCTCCTCTGCTCTTGACGCTCCATAGCCGCCTCCTTAGGGGAAGCCAGAGGAAGAGGAAGATCTTAGCAAGCCTCCAGCCTGCTTTCAGGTGAAGACCTGGGAGTAGATTCAAGGTAAAAGGAAGGCCAGGGGCCACTCTCCCTTCTGAGAGGCAGCTGCAGCTCAGGCCCTAATATACCCTTTTCCCCTCTGGCCTCTCCCTTTCCCCCTTCTGGTTGGAGGAGGGAGAAGTGGGAAGTAGTTTGGGAACTGGTTTGTCCACATCAACTTCCCTATTGTTCCTTGGCCCTCCCTCAGGGCAGAGCCCCCTGCCCAGGCTGGGTAAGAGATGGGCTTGGTCCAGCAGGGACCCTGAGGGAACTCCCTTTCCTTTTGGGGAGAGTGCCCCCCTACCGTGTAGTTGAACAGGGGCTAGGAGCTCCCCATTCCCCTCTTAACAGCAGGCTGTGTGGGTTTCAATTCCCATCCTTCCCACCCCAGCTAGGTGTTGTCCACCCTGTATCCTATCATGTGTCTGAGTGTGTGTGGGGGGGTTCTGTACTAATTTCCATGGCCGGTGGCTTTTCCTTCCATGCATCACTCCCCCCCGCATGCCCAGGGGCCACCTGCCTGGCATTACCGCATGCTGGGGTCATTGGGGGAGGGGGGTGGGGCTCACGCTGTCCTGTGGTCTTGAGATTTTTATTTTTGCATATGTAATCCATCCTGTACAGGTAGCTAACTTTGTAAACGCTGTGTATTCCCCCTGCCCCCATGGCTGCTGGTGTAAATAAACTGCATCTCCCGTTGGTAGCCTGGTCTACCCACCCTCATTATGTTACTGGAGGGAAGAGCAAAGCCATTTTCTTACTGTCACAGAAGGAGGCTCCACAGCCACAAAATGGAACTTTTATTCAATCACAGACACTGACCCTCCATCCAAGAGTCCCAGAGGCGAGGGCTGGGGGCCCAGTGCTCCATACGGAGCTCGTCCTTGGAGCCAGGCAGGGTAGGACACTGGCTGAGGGCCAGCGCTGTCTTGCTTACAGCCTTAGGCCCAGCGTAACAGCAGCTGTGGCCTGGCCTCTCCCATTGCTGGGGGCTTGGCTTTGTGCCCCAATCCCCTTCCTGACTGGGCTCTATAAAAGACTTTAAAAAAATGCAAGCAAAGTGCTTTTGAAAAAGGGAGAACACTGGAAACTATCCAGAACATGGAGAACACCCTATTCCTGCTACAGGGGTGAAGGAAGAAGGTGGGGGCAGCTAGGTGCCTATAGGGAAAGCTGGCACAATCTTTCCTGCCTATGTCATTTTAGTCTCAAAAGATCCATACTAGACTAAGAAACTGAAAGACATTCAGGCTCCCTACACAAGTATGCTGGGACCATGCTGAGCCGCCTGGCAGGCTGCCTGGGGGCTGGGAAGCAGACATGCAGGACACTGGGGAAAGCTAGGGCCACAGCTGGGAAGGAATCATCAGAGCCCAGCCTCCCCACTGAGCTGGGCCATCAGCTCTTCTTGAAGACCCTAAAATGTGAGGGTAGATGACATCTTCATTTCTACCTGAGTTGTGCTTGCACAGAAGGGCCATCTGTACCCTCATGGACATAAAGAGACACCATACCTGCCTCCTGTGTCAGGGTACCCATCCACAGCCTTTCCACACATGCCCCTACTCCCAGGCTCTTGGGCCTAGCTCTGGCCAGGAAATGGGGGAGGCCACAGAGGAAGACTATGCCTTTGATTTTCTCCCTATGTCCTTATCGTCCATACATCCCAAACACTAGGAAGCTGAAGAAGACCGTGACTCCCACCAGGGAGACAGTGGCAGGTGCCGTGAAGAACTGTCGGTAATTGATACGAAAGTACCAGACAACACCTAACAGCACCACAAACACAGGTACCATAAGGCTGCCCACATTGACACCAAGGCTGGGCGCCTCAGTGGCAGAGGAGGGGGCCAAGGAGGCTGAGGGGCCTGGAACAGCTGACCCTGGGGGTGAACGGTGGCAGTGAATCACACAGTTGTCGGTAATGTTCAGAGAACGCAGTGTGCAAGCTGGGTCCTGCAGTAAGCGGCCCTGGTAGATGAGTTTCATCTGGCTCTCTTGTCCAGGGAAGTATTTGCTATAAAGATAAGGAAAGAGAGGGAGAGAAATTAAAAGGCCAACTACCTTGGATCAAAACAACAGAACAGAGTGGCAGGGAAAATGAAGAGTGGATTTCCACAGCAACAATCTGTCTCCCCTGCCCCCCAGCTAGAGGCCAGACTTGACACCTGCCTGCTGCTCCTACACGTGTGCGAGCTTTGTCAGAGGCAACCAAAGGCTAGGGGGTCACAACAACCTCCAAACAGTCCACTCACCTCTTTAGAGCACCCACAGTATCCTCTGGCCTGGCCACAGCCAACTCCTCAGTGTCATTAAGGAATTTGAGCCGTACATTGATGAGGCCTGGGCTGGGAGGTAGGCAGATGCTATCCTCAGATCTCAGGGAGCCCTCTGGGTTGTTGTTCTCTGGACCCACTTGTCTCTTAGGCAGGCCTTGGATGTCCAGCAGATGCTCAAGGCTGGGCTCAATACCACCCCCAGCTCCAGGCTCCCCTGTGGCGTCTCCTCCACCTTCGCCAGCTTCTTCAGCCTTCTCATCGTTACCCTCTGATGGATGAGGGAGTTCAGTTGGCTCTGAAGTACCCTGGCCTGCCATCAGGTGGTCCACGTGCCCCAAGTGGAGGACAGATGTGTCGCCTGCTGACACAATAGTGCCCAGGAGCTGATTGTTACTGCTGTCTGCTACGTATGTAGAGAGCCAAGCTAGGACCAAGGCTAGAATCAGTACCACCACACCTGCCACCACCGTCACCTCATTACCCACACCCTCAATGAGAGTGATGTCAGAGAGCTCCATAGTCTGGCTGCTGACTGGGTCCACACTGCAGGAACAAAAGGGAACAGCATCAGTGGGACCTGGCTAAATCAAGTTTCTAGTTGTTTAGGTCCAAACTGATCTAGGCCTGAAGGGAAAGGGAAGTTCAGTGTCCTGTAGAAAGGGAGACAAACCTCCTAACTCTCGACTCCCAACCTAAAGCTCAAGATTTACCCTTGCTTCTATTGTGAAACTCTAGCTTTTAGATTCCACACCCTTCCGCTCTCATGTCCCACCCCCCCCACCAAGCATGAATGGTTAGGAAAACCTCATAGTCTTGTTGCCACTACTGTTTGTTGTGTTTTTTTTGTTGTTTGTTTTTTTGTGGGTAGGGAAAAACAATTGTTCAGAGTTTCTCTAAGACTTCTCATTTGCTCAAGCAAACTTGTCCCTTGAACAGTTTTCCCTGGGCTTCAGTAGGACATGCCTGGAATCTTTTCCCTTGCAGCCCCTTTTGGAGGAGGCATGGCAGAGCTACCCTTGCAAGACTGTCTCATTTGAACCCTATCTCATTCATGTTCACATTCCACTGATGCAGAAAGCCAAGAAATATTAACCTATTACCAACAGCAGGGTCAGACCACGCCAAGAAAAATTTTGTATGGGCCACCAGCAGACATTATAATTGCCTTCTCTGAAAACCTCTGGTAAACCCAGAGAAGCCAAATTGGATAAAAGCCAGAAATGCTACCCTCCTGGGACTCTGATGGATGTCAGGCTGCTAAGTGAAAAGGTCAGCAGTTTGAATTCACCAGGAGCTCTGCCATAAAGCATCAGAATCCCAATGGAGGATCAACTCTATGGCAGCGGGTGGGTCACCACAGGTTCACAACTGCAAAATCCCAACGGGACCTTTCCAAACTCTTACAAATCCAACTCTCAATCTCCTTTCTTGTACTGCGGAAGTTTTCCCTGGGCAGATACTTAGAAAGGCAGGATTTTAGCTCACTCCTTGGAGAATCTGCTGTTTTCCCAGCAGTCTCCAAGCAAATCCAGCAGAGTGATTATCATTATCCTGCCTATTCTCACAGCACCTATTTCATTATATTTATCTGTCTATCTCTCCTGGAAGACAAAGATCACATGTATTTCTTCTTTGTACCACAGTGCCCTGCATTAATGCCAAAGTACTTGCTCAAAGAATATTTGTGGAACAAATCAACATCTGAATGATTTTCAAATCCTTATTTATCAAAGCGGTCCTAAAACTAAAAAAAAATATATTCTCGTCGTCTTCTCTCTTACTAGTATGTAACCATGAACAATGAATGTTCTTAGCGTCTCTGATGAGTAAAATGGGGTTTAAAAGTAGTACCTACCTCATAAGGTAGTTTTGAAGATGACGTGAAATCATCGAAGCAAATTACTTAGCACCGTGTATGGCACATAGCAAATGTTCAGTAAATAAACGGTGGCGATTATTTATCACTCCCACAAATAAACCCTGATGATCACCATGCAGGTTAGTGTCATCAACCCCGATACATAGAAAAGGAAACTGCGGCGAACAGAGGCAAAACAAATGGCACAGGCAGTGCAATTTCGTGCGGAGGGGCTGCTTCAGGACCCCAGGTCTCCTGCCTCAAAGGCTTCTGCTGTTCCCGCAGCCTATGGGCGACCCTGACAAGTGAGGTGAGGAGAGGTCCTCGGCCCTTCCTTTTATGAAGCGAAGGCTTTGCGTTTGGGTGGCCCTATTCCCGCGTCGCTGGAGAGGGTTCCGTGGTCCACACCTGCTGAAAAGCTGTCCGGTTCCAGCTACTGCGTCCAAAACCAGCTCTTCAGCTCATGAGGGGTAGCAGGGTCAGGTGAGGGGGGTCACAAACCATCCACACCCCTCAAGCTTCGGGGCGGGGCTGGGAGACTTGGGGCGGGGCTTGAACACGCTGGGTGTCATGGGAAATTAAAGGGGTCTTGGATCGGTACTAGGCCTGGAGGGGAAGGAGATCCTCACCTGAGACGGTTAGACTACGTGTTTAGACTTCGCCGGGATGATCCCTGGGTTCGCCTTTCCGTAGGGGCAGGGCAGGGACCGGGGGAGGGGCTGACAATCACCAATTCTGTGCAGGGTCCGGTCTTCCGGCTTATCCCGGAAGCTGTTAGACATAGAGATAGGAAATCCCGCCCCTGGCCTTGCACTGATGACGTGAATATACGTAAGGCGGGTTGACGTAAACGTATTCTTTAAATAAAAGGGACGGGTTTCTCACTGGAAGGAGGGGCGGAGTCATTGTTGGCGGGATCCTGGCCCTCCCGAGGCGGAGCCACGCCCAGTGGGCGGGGCCTTCGGCTCTGAGCGGTGAGAGGTGTGGCCAGGCGTGGAGGCGTGGATTGGGGGAGGTGCCTGGGAAAGAGACGAAGCTTCCCTGTGGGAGCGCTGGGCCGGCTTTGCTGGGACACTGGACTGTAAAGAAGCTAGCTTTTCTTCTTCCCCGCCTTCTTCTTCCGTCCTTGCTCCTGTCCTCCGATTTGTGTCCTTTACTGCTTTGCAACATGCTTTTAGCTCCACGTTAGCAGAATCTAAGGACTGATTTCTCTTTTGACTACCAGGAGTGGAGAGCAGGACTGGTACAGGACAAGGAGGCAGTTTGGCCAAAAATTCATGAACTCTGGCTCCAGGTAGTATGGGACCTTGACAAAATAAAAACCTTGCCCTATCCTGCACCATTCTCTTGATTTCTGATATGCCCCAATCCTTTGTTACAGTCATTGTCATCTTATTGAGGGTTTTCCTCTCTTTCCTTGACTCTCCCATTCCCAGCATGATGTTATTTTCCAAGGCCTGGAAATATGGCCAAAGTATGTGAGACAAAATTTCACCATCATCTTTTCTTTTAAGGAACATCCTGGTTCCACTTCCTCCTAGACAGATCATGTTTGTTCTTTTCTATTACCCTAAATCTCAGAGTAAATTACTCCAAAGTAATGAAGAGCAATGGTGTCACTCTGGAGACTAAGGTGCGGCCGATACAGGCCATAGTCTTTGCCATCATTTGTTATGCATCAGAGAGCTGGACAATGACTAGGGAGGATAGAAGGATAATTGATGCCTTTGAGCTGTGGTGCTGGAGAAGAGTATTGAATGTACCATGGACTGCTAAGAAAACAAACAGATTTATCCTGGAGAGGCAAGGATTCTGAGGCTTCGTCTGACAGACTTTGGACATGTTGTAAGGAGATACTGGTTCTTGGAGAGGGACATCATGCTTGGGAGGGTGGAGGGACAGCACAGGAGAGGAAGGCCCTCTATGAGGTGGATTGATTCAGTGACTGGGGCAATTGGAATGGGTATGTCGGAGACTGTGCGATTGGCACAGGACAGAGCAGAGTTTTGGGCTGTTGTACCTGTTGTACATAGGGTCGCTATGAGTCGCAAGAGACTCGACGGCACATAACAACAACAAGAAGTCTCTCGGTAGAATATATACAATGGTGCTCTGATGGCCTAGTAAGGAGTTGCCCTGCCCTCGGCAGCAGAAAGGTGGGCAATCACCTCATGTGATTTACAGCCTCTAAAAACCCAATGAAGGGTCAACTATGAGTCAGTCCTGACAGATGGCAGTGAGTGTTTCCGGTATATAACCTATGGAAATGCTCCTGAATACTACAAATCATTTCTAGATTCCTTTCAGGGAACTCTCATAGCTTAGTCCATAAGGAATTTCACTGCTAACACAAAGGTGGAGCCTCGCCTCTCTGGCAGTTCAAATCTACCAGCAGCAACTTCGGAGAAAGATTGTTACTTAACCCCTAGGAACTTCAGTGGAGGGTAACTTATATGTCAGTTCCAACTCGCTGATGACAGTGAGTTTAAGATTCTTTTTTACTCCTAATACAATTAGATACTATGTAAATAGCATTTTAAGCTCCCTCTTAGTCTTTAAGGGGTTTCTTTGACCAACATTTAATTGCTTCCTCCCCAAATGTTGTTTTTTTATCCAGTTTGTTGATTGAATCTTTAGATACAGAACTCATGGATACAGAAGCCTATTGTATTAACTATATACTATAGACATTTCCCCCTGTCATTGCCAATTTTTTTTTAACATTGCAACAGTTTTAGGGTGTTCTTGTGGCCTAATGGGAAAGGAATTGTGCTGCCAAACCAAAGACAGGTGAGCAGGATCCACCAGCTGCTTCAAAGTAGAAAGGCAGTCTTCTCCCATGCAATCCACTGCCTGTGAAAACCCACTGAAGGGTCACCTATAATTTGGATCCAAGTCAACAGCAATGTCTTGTTAATCAACAGTTTTAAATAGCCACCATCTGTTACCTTCCAAATTACACCATGTTCTTGTTGTGTATCATTGAATCAGAAGGCTCCTAGATAGTTCTGTATCTGATTTTCAGAGGCTATAACTTGCACAGAAGCCTACCCATCTTTCTCCTGCAGAGCAGCTGGTGGACTCAAACCCCTTACTTTGGATTGGAAGCACAGCTTCTTACCACTAAGTCTCCAGAGCTCCCTAATTACAATCTCTCTCTATATATAAGCTCTGGTGACCTAGTGTTAGAGTTGTGCTGTCAACCCAAAAGCATGTAGTTCAAATATACTAGCAGCTCCTCAGAAGAAAGATGGGCAGTCTCCTCCCATGCAACACTGCCTCTGAAAACTCGTCAATTCCAACTCAATGGCACACAAACACACCACCACCACATATACATATACAGGGGGCTCAGGTTGTGTAATCTGTAGAGAGATGCACTGCTACCTGAAGGACCATATCTCTCTGACAGATGGGCAGTCTCCTCCTGTGGTATTTATAGCCTTCAAAAACCCAGTGGAGGGTCAGTAATGAACTGGTTTCAACTCAATAGCAATGACTCTGATATTGTGGTATTTATTACTCAAAATGGCTTTCCTAGCCACTGAACTTGACTTTGCCAAGTGGATGAGCAGAAATATGCAAATAGAACATATTGGCCTATCCACAAGGGGATTGGCTATCTCACCAATCCACAAAGGGATTGGCTAGTCTTGCCATTAAATTGAGTGACAGCAGAAGAAGAAATCTTCCCCACCAGTGAGGAAGAAGAAGAGAATGTCGTACATCCTTCAGGCCCAGAAATTCTTGTTCCAGCCACACCTACAGGAGCAGCAGCCATGGCCAAACTAGAGAACAACATAAGATGAAGCTACCTTGGGACTATTACCCCGTGCCTTCCCCCACCTCCCGGACAGAACAAGAGATAAACTAAGAGTTTTTGCCTATGTTTTTTGGACAACTTGTGGGACAACTGGGGGAGCCAGTAAGTACAGGACTGAGAACTTTGTAACTCTGGCCTAAAGAGACATGAGGCCCAAGGCATAGGTATCTATGAGCATTTTGGAAGCTACCCAGTAGCTATTCTGCTACTACCCTGGATTATAACCTTCTCACTTCCCCAGTACGGTTCTGTGTGGTCTGTGAGCTATTGCATTGGGTTTTGGACCCAGTAAAGCAGTAAGACTGGTGTTGAGATGAATAGAAAGAAGTACAGGAGTATGGGGGAACGTGTTTGACCTCAAGGGAATTGGTTTTGTGTTACTGATGCTGTTGATGGAGCTAATTCCCCTGTGTCAAGTTGTTGTTAAAGGTCATATACGGTCCCCACATGGCCTTTGTTCTTTTTACAAATACTTTTCACACACACACACACACACACACACATTCAAATAGGTGGTGTTGTATGCAAGTGAGTCGAAACTGATTCATAGTTGACCCTCCAGCGGGATTTTCAGAGAGAATAAAGCACACAGGAGGAGATTACTCATCCTCTTCCCAAGAGCAGTTGGTGGTTTCAAACAACATACCTTCAAGTTGGCAGCCCAACACCTTACATAAATGTAAAGTGTTTGTGACCCATCAGAGGGACCCAACAGCTTGCTAATAATGTAAATATGGTAAATTACATCTTTGGGATTATGCAAATAAGACATGTAGAATGCTTAACATGAGATCTGATTAGTTTGGTCATCCCACCTGGCTTAAATTGAGCCATTTCAGAGGCAGAAACTGAACTCTCACTACCATAAAAAAGCAGAGAGTGCAGCATATACTTTGGACCTGGGATCTTTTCACAAAGTAGAGGCAGCACAAGATGACATGGCAGCCCACATGGTGGTAGTGGTGGTGGCAGAGGTGTCAGACAGTCAGAGATTGGTGTGAGACGCAACTGTGGGCTTCCAGCCCATAGAGCAAGAAAGCTGAGTACTTGCTAGCAAAGCGGGTACCTTTGAACACTAGCCAAGGGACCTAGGTTAGCTAACCTACAGAGTGAGAGCTGAACCCCTTGAGATCTAGGCTTATTGGCAGAGTAGGGGTGATACATAACTGGCAGGATTCAAGGAGCTTTTTAACACTTGTCCAAGCAGGT